GCACCTTCGCCTTCACCCTCGGCGGAGTCCATGCCGACCTCTTCGTAGTCCTTCTCGAGGGCCGCCAAGTCCTCGCGGGCCTCGGAGAACTCTCCCTCCTCCATACCCTCACCGACGTACCAGTGCACGAAGGCACGCTTGGCGTACATCAGGTCGAACTTGTGGTCGAGACGAGCCCAAGCCTCGGCGATGGCAGTGGTGTTGGACAACATGCATACGGCACGCTGCACCTTCGCCAAGTCACCACCAGGCACGACGGTGGGCGGCTGGTAGTTGATGCCGACCTTGAAACCAGTAGGACACCAGTCCACGAACTGGATGGTGCGCTTGGTCTTGATGGTAGCGATAGCGGCGTTGACGTCCTTGGGAACGACGTCACCACGGTACAGCATGCAGCAGGCCATGTACTTGCCGTGGCGAGGGTCACACTTCACCATCTGGTTCGCGGGCTCGAAGCATGCGTTCGTGATCTCCGCTACTGACAGCTGCTCGTGGTACGCCTTCTCGGCGGAGATGACGGGTGCGTAAGTCACCAGGGGGAAGTGGATACGTGGGTAAGGCACCAAGTTAGTCTGGAACTCGGTAAGGTCGACGTTGAGGGCGCCGTCGAAACGCAGAGAGGCCGTGATGGAGGACACGATCTGACCAATCAGACGGTTGAGGTTGGTGTAGGTGGGGCGTTCGATGTCCAAGTTACGGCGGCAGATATCGTAGATGGCTTCGTTGTCGACCATGAAAGCGCAGTCTGAGTGCTCCAAAGTGGTGTGGGTGGTCAGAATGGAGTTGTAGGGTTCGACAACAGCTGTGGACACCTGAGGGGCGGGGTAAATGGCGAATTCGAGCTTGGACTTCTTGCCATAGTCAACAGAGAGACGTTCCATCAAGAGGGAAGTGAAACCGGACCCAGTGCCGCCGCCGAAGGAGTGGAAGATGAGGAAGCCCTGGAGGCCTGTGCACTGGTCAGCAAGCTTGCGAATGCGGTCCAGAACCAAGTCTACGATTTCCTTTCCAATGGTGTAGTGGCCACGGGCATAGTTGTTGGCCGCATCTTCCTTACCAGTGATAAGTTGTTCTGGATGAAACAACTGTCTGTATGTGCCGGTGCGGACCTCATCTGTGAACATAGAAAACATTTGGTTAGACTACTTTCAAAGTTTCGTATTTTCACCACTCGTATTGGTTAACCCATTTGCGCCCGCCGTGCCCAATCGAGGACACTACTTTGAGTACCCGTAATTTTTTTATATTACTATTAATACTCATTACAAAAGTGTATATGTAAAGTAAAATAGTGGATCTTAATTTTATTATTTAAAAAAATTGTTTAGAATTAAATAAAAGTGGTTTGACTGTTCCTTTTGTGGGGTTAACTTACGCACACGTGAAACGCTAAAGTTAGTTGTTTTTCCTGTATGTTATTACCAACAATTTATTTCTTTTTTTACATATATTATTGAAATGTATTCGTATACTATAAAATAAAAATTATATAATTGAGTTAAATAGTGTTTTGACAACTTCAGACGGTGGTATATAACGGTGTCCCCAATTGGGGCCATTGGGCGCTTATGGGGTAGTTTATTAGTTTTTCATCTATAAGTAATTTTCAACGAAATAATGACACGACAGGTATTTGGCAGCCACAATTATAACTATGGGCTTCAGAAAGCTATTGAAGCTGTAATGGATGACAGAGACCATGATGTGGAGATAGATTTAGGGGGCATTTCCCCTGGAACTGAGGGCGCTCACCAATGTAGAAGTACTATTCTTATGTAACAAGATCTAATAATCTACGGCAAACTGGTTATCGAACAACTGAAACTGTCTGCAAAGGAAAAACTAAGAAACATCTACTTGACCAGATTTGTAATACACATGTAGAGTAAAACCGTGCCAATTTTGACTATCGATTTTACCCAATCAACCAAATTCTGTTTTTTCCATGGCTTGACAATAGTATTTGCACGATGAGCTCTGATTATGATAATGTCCTTTCTCTGGTGAAAGTAAAAAGATAAAGCACTGTGAATAAACAGAAAGCTGACGTGGGTATCCTGCGTGATTTCAAACGTACCAGCAGGATAAATCAAGCTGACCAATCTTTTTGTATCGCACTGCCATTCGAGGCAAAAACTGGTGGTGTGTTTTGTTCCACTACAAGCTGCACCTAGCACTAGCTAATACATGGCGTTTACACCTCCTGACCAATAATACGAAGCTAGATCAGCTACATCAGTTAAACGGTTACATCACGTCACTATTGGAGAAACAAATACTCAAAGTTTACATCCAGCAGCTTCTTTGGTGCTAAATCTACAGAACATTGGTGTTGATCACTACGCTCAGAAGTTGGCTTAACAGTTACGATGTGCAAAAATAGCTGTTGAGCCACAAATAAGTGCGTTGGCAATATAAAAAATGCGTCAAGTCTTTGTGCACCGACAAATATTGTTACAAATTTTTTGACACCGCTTGAGCCCATTGTCCCCATTTGAGGACGGCATTTTTTTTCATACAAAATAAAATAAAATCTTTTTTTTCTTCATAATTTTCTCATAAGTAGGCTATTTTGTAAAGGTTCATAAAAAAAATTTACTATTTTTAACGCTAATTTGTATTTGGGCGTTAATGGGTTAATTATACTCTCAGCTTGATACATACCTACTACTGTAGGTTCCAAGTCCACAAACACGGCACGGGGCACATGCTTGCCAGCTCCGGTCTCGCTGAAGAAAGTGTTGAAAGAATCATCACTGCCACCAATGGTCTTGTCAGTTGGCATCTGGCCGTCAGGCTGGATGCCATGCTCAAGGCAGTACAGTTCCCAGCAGGCATTTCCAATCTGGACTCCAGCCTGGCCAACGTGTACGGAGATGCACTCACGCTGTGGGACAAACAAACATTTGTGATTAGTATAGTAACCGTCAATGACTTAGAAATTTCAGAGTGAAATGTGCAGTTTGCTCCAAGCCTTTGAATCTAAGGTATAAATTACATACCAATAATTAAATTTATATCATTGTATGCACATACTTTGAAAATATGTATAAATCAATAGTTTTATGGACAAATTAAGTACCTTAACACAGTGATAAATACCTTTCGTCTATTTTTCAACTCAAACATTCATTTAAGTACATGACTAATAGGCCAGATCCAAAATAAATAACATGAGTTTGTAAGAAGGTAAGATATTTTAATATAGTATCTTTTAGGACATAGTGTTTTATATTTTGAAAAAATATCTTTGTCACTTAAATGTTCTTTAAATTTAGAATATTTCTTACAGCACTTAAATTTAAATACAAGGATTCACTCGTACAATATAATCAGTACAGTTTCAAATATCTGCCGTCCGCTAACTCGGCTAAGTGACTAAATATTTCTTTGAGATATAATAAAAAACCATAACCCAGTTTTAGAATATTGAGATTGTTTAATGATATTTCAGTTACGCATCGTTAGGGTCTGATAAGTCGAATACGTTAACAATTTTAACGGTTTTTAAAAGAGTTTTATGCTCTATTTTTTGCTATTTAAAACGGTTATTTAACCATTTGTCACCTAGCCGCGTCTTAGTCAGTGGACGGCAGATATAGAATCTCTACATTCGTTTTTAAACTTATTCTTAAAGAGAAAGTAACGAGAGCACTTTTGATTCCCCAGAGAGAAAAGTGGAACAAGTACTTTCTTGGGAAAGGTGAAAGTATCGCAAGTACTTGTGCAGAATTGCGATCAAAATCTTGTTTAGATAGGTAGTTGTCTATTATAAACTCGTAGGTTACTAATTAATGTTTTCAATATAGGTAACTAACAATAAAATATGTAGACTCGAAAACAAGTGAGATCATCGAACCGAAATCATACTTGAATGAGAGCACCGGACACGTCATCATTGTCGTGCTATAATTTTAAAGAAAATTACTGAAAATTGGCCATTATTAAACTAGAAACAAGTGTTATATTGTTTCATAAGTAGTTCGTATATAAGATGTAAAAGAAAAAATGTTAAATAAGTCCAAAATAAGCTTATTAAGGGTGTGGCAACCGGCGTAGTAGCCTTGAAAAACATTATACCCAAATTTAGTGTTAAATTAAGCTTTAAAACAAAATCACATCTAAACCGGCAAATTGCAGCTCAATTTAATTTCTCAATAGAACAAAAAAAAATGAAAATCGCGAATTTCAAATGTAAGACAGCGAAATTTAAAAGTTCCTGCGTATGTGTCAGTATAACAGAGAGGTGGGATTTAGAAATCGGTCGCGCTGTGCGCCGACAAAATGGTGGCGTGGCCACCCGGCATTTTACTACACGATATACGTTAAAATATTAGTACAAAATCACTTAAACTCAAGAAAGATTACAATTAGATAAAAATTCAGAGATTACTCACCATTTTGATTGGAGTTTTATAAAAATTAAGGTACAAAGTACAAATAAGTTAACTTAAGTCAGTCGTCGTTCGGCGCGACCGGTGAAGAGGCTTGCCAAACGATAAATTCGTCAAAAAACCCGTTAGGAAGCCTTTTATATCTGGCTGAAGCGTCATGGAAGCAATGCTGCCAACAGTACAAAAATGAATTAGGACTTAGACATAGTGTCGACTGTTCCATCAACTAAAAAGTTAAAGTTTTTAACCGGTGTCATTAATTTGCTATTAAACAAAAAAAAAATATTGATACGTAATGCGAATTTTATTTAACTTTTATTCGTTCTAAAAATAGTCCACATAATTTTTTATTTGCCTTATGTCGTCCATTTATTTCCAATATTTTCACATTGTGCAACATTAATTTCGTTTAAATATATTTCTTTGCTACGATTTTTTTATATAATTATCATTTAAGAAACTTTTGCGTGCTGAATATTCTTGCTTGTGTATAGTCAAGAGCACATCAAGCTCGACACTTTGAACTTTGGACCGTTCTTATTGCAAGCGGCGCGCGGCGTAGAGTTAAATTTGAACCTTTAATGTCAAGCTTGACGTGCTCTTGACCGTGTACCAGCGGATTCTAGTTCCCTGCATTTAAAAATGTTATTATATTATAATATGTATAATTTATCGGTTTCTATGAATTTTGGTTAAATGATCGTAATACCATATTAAACTATTGAGGATTAAATTGTATTACGTGTGAGTTTTTCTGCATATCCCATATCGTCACTACGATTCCATTGCAAAGAACTTTCATGCCAGAGAAGTTACCAAGCTCAATAAGCTGAAAACTTCGCATTTGAAATACATTTGTCACATTTGGGCAGCAGCTTTGGAAAGCAAGGAGATCCATATTTCCTGCTTTCAGTTGAACATCGGTGTGAAAATCGGGTGGTGAAAAGGACCAAGCTATGATATTTTAGGAAGTCGTACTTTTTATTTGGTTTACGCACGTAGTCGAGGGAAATGCCGAGCATTAAGCGCTCCATTGCGCTTTGAGTTACTCTGATTTTGTGCATGTATTGAATGAATTTGATTTTCGCTACTTAGATGATAAAAATTTACACTTGTAAACGTACGTACTTATGAATACACGTGACTGTTAAATCAAAATTCCCTTGTATTTTACATTATTTTTGTATTTATTTATGAAATATCCACATGGTATTCTAGTTTAGGTTCTAGCCACCACAAACGCATGGACTCGACTACGCGGTGGTATACGCACGCAGATATTCTTTTTAACCTGTTTAAATATACCTAAATAGTGAAGTTAATAAAAACTTGATAGTATGCATGGGCCCTTACAGGGCCTATTCATATCAACTTGGGCATTGTATTGTAACACCTCGCTCTCGCTCGCGCTTGTTCCCGCCTGGATCACTTGTTGCACTCCTTCTTCATTAGATTGAAGCTGTCACTAGATGGAATTCTGGTAAACGACGTACATACATACCTACTAGAATTCAGACTATGTGAAAAACATTGTCATTTGTGCAAAATAACGATATTTTTTGTACGATCTTACGTGTTGTTGTTTCTATTTTCTGTACTTACCTACTGCACCAGTAATACTGGCATAGTTCATTAAAATACAGTCTAATCGGTATTACTGCAGTTTTGAATAAAACAAAATGATAAATCACAAACCAAAAATAATTGACACACTTTCCATTCCATTGCATGACAATTTATATGTATGATGATGAATAATAATATGAGAATGAGAATTTTTATAAGGTTGGTACGGGAGGTCGGTGTACTTGTCTGACAGCCCAGCAGCCAAGCGCTTTGCAGCGCTAATTTGGATTATATTCGCACGCGCTTCTGCTGCTGCACGATGCCCAGGTTATTATTATTAATTAGAGGTCGGTTTATTTTATGGTGGATTTCTTCGAAATTATTAAACATTAATAAATTCGAAGAAACTTTATATACTTTAATTACGAGAGATAGAAATCGGCTACAAACTCCTCCCTAAAATCGATTATTAGGTTTTTATGATTGATCAAGTTTTTGTTAAGTTTAATTTTGATTTCGATGGATAGCTATTGCAATAATAGATTGTTAATAATGAAGAAGACGGACATTTAATTTTATTGCTATTTCATTCGAATTGAAGAATTTTTTTAGTAAATGATAAAAAAATCTTTACTAATGTAGTGGCAATTTTGTACCTACCACTTTTTTTTATTTACATATAAAAATCTTTTCTTATAAATATGTACACTATATCAATTAAAATTATGGAACAATAACACAATAATTCTGGGATTTCAGATATTTAGTTCACGTGGCCAAAACCAATAAGCTTTAGTGGGATGGAAGTTGAAAATAATGTCACCTAAAAATAAACTCTACTAATACCCAAACAAGGAAAATTAATTACAAATCTAGTCATACATATACTCGATGTTACAAATCAACCGTTGTGTTGACTTGATACATGTCCAAGACCACATTCAATAAAATTATAAAGACTTCATTTTCTAGAATAAAATGAATAGTTTTTATTGAGTGTGGATGCTGTATGTGTGTGTGGATGTGGATGCGGTACGGCGGCGGGCTAAATAAGCAAAATATTAAAACATTTTTTTTTTAATTGTATCACACGTTAAGTAATTGCCATTCAGTGTTCAGCAATTTAAAAGAAACTGTCACTGTTTATATGCGAATGTGTAATAAGTTCTAAAACATGGCGGCTTTCTTAGAATAATAACGCATAGAATGATAGTTTCATATCAAACGAACTGTCACAAGTGAGGCAAAAATCAAATTCATGTAGACTAGTTTTAGTAGTAGGTTAATTTTCGGTTTTAGTGAATATTTATATAAAAATACAAGTTGAAACGTGTTACTTTCTTGTGGAATGTGATGTTAGTATCTATTTTATGTTTGTCTGACGTATTTTTACACTAATTTACCGCACATTTCGTCAATTTTAGCTAAAATTCTTGATCTGTTCGCGGTGCAAGTTGACCTTGAGCACTGAAGGCCCGCCCGCTCGTGTAGGCCCATTGGGAGCGCTTCAATTTGCCTCACTTAGCGTGTGCGCACTAGGTTTCTATGCGTTATTATTCTAAGGCGGCTTTTTGTAGTAATATTTTTTCACATGAATTAATTTTTAGTAGGTATAAGTGTACAAGTTGTTAGTTTCTTAATTATTTGTTACTGTTTAAGCTGATGGTTCTATAGCCAATGCTTAATAAATAAATAATATTACGTGAATGAGTACCTGAACGTGCAAATGGCTTGTTTATTTTAATTAACTTAGATCAACGTTGAAATACAAACTACAAACTATAACTTCAGTCAGTTTAAACTGATTTTAATGCTCTTAATGTGAGAGGTAAACTTGTCAACAACAAGCTATTCTGACCTTAATCCTTTTATGGACAGTAGGTAATTAAATATTACCGCACACAAAAATATCAGTATACATTTCTTGCCGTAATATAGTGCTATTTATATCATATTGATTCGATATAAAATGTTTAATGTAGATATGTAAAAAATTGTTTTATGTATTCGTTTAATGTATGAATTTTGTTGTTGATTCTTCTCCATGGAAAAGCAGTGAGTGGCAACTACATAGAAAGCACTTGGAAATCCCAATTTAAAACCCGTAGTTTGTTTTATTGAGAGCCATATAGCGAAACGAGGTGCCCCGCAATATCATAATCTAATATTTCGATACCTCCAATGAACACTATGCCGACTTAATTATATTGTTAAATTTTGTGAATGTTAATTTGGAGGTATCGATTTAATTTTACAGCAAACGCTATTACTGTCCATGAACAGGTGGTGCACTCTACCTACGCATCGACTTGCAGTTCAAAGTAGGTCACTATGTTGTCGTTTGGCAATACAGACATATCTAGATATATGTCTGTGTTTGCCACGGTCCTTTACTTGGTAAGTTGTCGTGCCAATTGTGTGTTTCTGAGAAATCGAGTTTATATACATCGACTGCTGCAACGTACAGTGTCGAAACTACAAAATGCATACTTTACAGTAGAGCAGTTTGAAGTTATATTTTGACTTAGAATAATAAGTTTTAAGTGTCGTGAAAGTGACACTCAATTATGATAGCTAATTTTATGTGTTTTTCTTAGGCTTTAGCATGATTTAAAAATTTTATGTATTTTTCTATATATTTCACTTTCAATAGTTTACCTTGTTAGAATTTGCTAGAAATTAATCGAAAGTTGTAGATTCGTTAGTATTCAGGGCTTGTAAAATTTGAACAAATATTGAATCTACCAGTTTCGGTACTTTCCATTGTCAGTTTTTATAGAATCGATAAAAGTTTAACACTTTCGATTATTCATACCAAGTAATTTATGAAAGAGAAGAGGATACCAAAACCAAACACTGATTTCATAATTTACTAACGTATATTTACTAATTATGAAATAAATCCATTTTTTGTATGGAATTCATGACGAGTAACATAGACAAATTAAAGCAACTTTTAACTATAATATCTTAAATGAACTTTTGTACTGTAGCATGAGTTCTTTGAGTCTTTTATGTAAATATTTTTTTTTACTTTGTAACATAAAGTCGAAAAAATAAGTAACATGACAAGTTTCAGTCTTGTTATTTTTTCATATATATAATATCAAGTGACGGGACGAACAAGTCGTGCGCCTGATGGTAAGCTACACGCCTATCCATAACAGTTGCAGTGCCACTCAGAGCTTTAAATCGCAAAGATCTGAGGGCCACTGCTACTGCGCCTGTCACCATTAGACATAATTTGACAAGTCCCATGTACCTGTAATTTCACCAGAACCCTTACCCTTCAAAACCGGAACGCAATAATGCTCACACTACTACTTGGCGGCACAAATAGTAAAGGTGGTACATCCATGGACGAACTTTTTCACAAGGAGGTCTACTGCTGCTAATTGTTACTTACTTGTTAGTGAAACAATATGGTGTTTATCGAGTTCTTAGGTTTTTGCGATTGTTACACTTAGGAAATGAAAGTATTATTTTTTCGGATCTAAATGGACTGTATTTGTTTTTTCAAACAAACCAGCGTTTCGGCCCCTTTACATGTCATATAGTCATGACTGACGTCAGGTACC